AACGCGGGGTTCAAACTCGCAACCCTGAGGTCAAAAGTCGCACATTCCACTATGGAGCCAGCCGGGTGCCCCCCTTCTTGGTGTTTCTTGGCCAAATGGTTTCATTCTCAAGGCCAACTCCTGGTGTGGAACTTTGGACATCCATCTTTGCTTGAAAGGTGGGAGAGTGGACGGTAACAAGATCACAACTCGAACCTCAGCGAGCCTCCACGTAAAGACCTCTCCGGAGACCCAGTGGCTTCTTTGGCACAGCTGCAGAATGTTGTCTTCACGAGGTTAACCCGTGCCAGGCGTAAAACCCAAGTTCTGTTAAAGGAGAGAACACCTGAGTGGCTCAGTCGGTTAAGCGTCCGACTTTGGCTCAGGCCACGATCTCGCGGTCTGTGAGTTCGAGCCCCGCTTCGGGCTCTGTGCTGACAGCTCGGAGCCTGGAACCTGCTTCAGATTCTGTGTCTCCCTCTCTCTCTCTGCCCCTCTCCTGCTCGTGCTCTGTCTCTCAATAATAAATACACGTTAAAAAAAATTTCTTTAAATAAATAAGCGTTGAAAAATAAATAAATAAATAAATAAATAAATAAATAAATAAATAAATAGCAGGATACTGGATAAGCAGCCATCCAGTCGGGATGTGATCCCATTTCTAGATTTTGAACTCAGGATGCCTTCCTGGGTCATATCTGAGTAACAGTAAAGGTGAAGACCGAGTGTCTCAGGATAAAGTGTAAGCTCCACAGGACCAGAGACCTCACTGCGCTGTCCCCAGCCCCTGAAACAAGCCCGACATTTTTCCTGGCTGTAAATATTTCCTGAATTGAAGTTTAAAATAAGCTGGAATGTCCTCTGCTTTTACTGCATTTTTCTTCAAAGTCCTTGAAGCCAGAAACGGTACTTCATTCAGCCAGACATTTGTCAGGCACCTGCTATGTACCAGGCACCTTCCTGAGGCCGGGGAATCAGGTCTGGAGAACTCCCTGAAATCACTACTGCTCGACCGAAGGCAGTTCTGATGGGTGGTGAATTGTGTCTCCCCCAAATTCGCATGCTGAGGTCCTGTGAACGTCACCTTCTTAAGAAACAGGGCCAGTGCGGATGTATTTGGTTAAGACGAAGTATACTGGAATAGGGGGGGCCCCTCTTCCAAGATGGCCGGTGTGCTTATAAAAAGGGTGCACAGGCACACAGGGACAACGCCACGCAAAGATGAAGCAGAGGTGGGGAAGGTGCTTCTACAGCCACGGATCCCCAGAGGCTAGCTAGGGAAGAGGCTGGGAATAGAGTCTCCCTCCCGGTCCTTAGAAGGAGCCAGGTCTGTTGACGCCTTGATCTTGGACCTCAGAGGTGCGGGAGAACAACCCCGTGCTGTGTGCGCCCAGCCTACGGTACAGTGAAAGTCACCCTTGGGGATTCTGGCTGCATCCCCTAAGCTCTTACACCTTCCACATAGGCACTCCCCAGCAAGAGGAGTCCAGGCCCCAAGAATCTGGCCTCCGCTGCTCTTTGAACAAGCCAAGCTCACTCCCACGTCCAGCTGATGAGTTGGTCTCTGCTGGCAATGCTGTTCCTCCCGATTTCCCCGTGGTGGACTCCCCAGCGTCTGGGCCCCCGGCGTCACGGGGAACAGCCCACCTTCTCCAACCCGCCCACAGCACCTGCCATTACCGGCTCCCTCGACCCCCCGCGCATCTCCATCGGAGCCCTTACCACGAGCCGAAATGCTCCTATGCGCCTGCGCCTCGGTTTTTGTTGTTTCCTCTGCTGGAGCATGAGAAACGGGAGAGCCAGGATTGGGCTGCCGTCTTTCCATCCCAGGGCCCGGAAGCGCGTCAGGCTCGCAGGAGATGCTCAAAGCACGCAGGGAGCCGGGCGGTACAGCGTACTCAGATTGCCTCCAACAGGTGCCTTAGGACCTTAGGGCACGTGGGCTTGCATTCGGCCCGTGACCACCCCGAGAATTCTTCTGGGTCTTTCCCAACCCCTTCTCATCCTGTTGCCTCTCCATCTGCTGGAGAAGGAGGGAATGGTCAGGGATGGTTAGAGGAGAAGAAAAGGACTCTTCCACACCTTTTAATAAGCTTTTGTCCAAGTTTATTTATTGTTGAGAGAGAGAGACGGAGAGAGCGAGCAGGGGAGGGGCAGCACGGAGCCCGATGCAGGGCCGGAACTCACAAACCCTGAGATCGTGACCTGAGCCGAACCGATAGTCGGACGCCCAGGTGCCCCTCTTCCACACCTTTTAAAAAGTTATTTGTTAAATAAAATTGGGGCAAAATATAAATAGCACAAAATTGACCACTTCAAACGTACCGCTCCGTGGCATGAGGGCACAACATTCCCCCTGTGGTGCCGCCGTCGTCATCACCGTCCATCCCCAGGACACTTTCCGTCTTGCAGACTGAGACTGAAACTCTCCGCCCTAAACGCTAACCGCCATTCCCCCTCCCACCTTCGGTCTCGAGGAGTCTGACTCCTCTGTGTGCTGCGTGCGTGTGGCATCACACAGGGTTTGTCCTTTTGTGCCTGGCTTCTTTCACGAAGCATAATGTCCCCGGGGGCCATCTGTGCTGTGGCAGCCATCAGGATGTCCTGCCTTCTCGGGGCTGAGTGAGGTTCCATTCTGTGGCTCTCCTCTATTGTGTTTCTCCATTCATCCGTTGATGGGCATTTGGGTTGCTCCTGCCTTTTGGCAACTGTCACTAATGCTGCTGTGAACGTGGGTGGGCAGACATCTTCTCTGCCTTTTTAATTGTTTATATTTGTTTTTGAGAGAGAGACAGAGCACAAGCAGAGGAGGGGCAGAAAGAGAGGGAGACACAGAATCTGAAGCTGGCCCCAGGCTCCGAGCTGTCAGCACAGAGCCCAACACGGGGCTCGAACCCATGAACTGTGAGATCACGCCCTGAGCCGAAGTTCGACGCCCAACCGCCTGAGCCACCCAGGTGCCCCTGTTTCCCCTTTTCATAAGGACCCCAGTCAGATGGCTCAGAACCCACCCTCATGACCTCTGTAAAGACCCTATTTCCAAATCCGGCCACATCCTGAGATTCTGGGGGTTAGGACTTCAACAGACCTTTTTGGGGGGTAACGGTCGCTGTGTGTCCCCCCCCACCCATTGCAATGCAGTGCACCAGGTGTGCTTGGGCGGGGCGGGGGTGGGGGAGCGTGGCCACGCTTCCAGGCCACAGCGCTGCTAACCAGGGGCCCTCGGGGCTCCCACCTCCCGCCTCCGACGCTGGTCACGGAGGTGGAGCCTCGTCAGCCTGGGTCCCTGACCAACAGACAGAGACTCTGTCCTCGACCCACCTTTAACAGGGCCCCTCTGAGCCCTCTTCTCGCCCCCGAGGCCCCCATCCTGGCCTCCCCCATCCATGTTTGGCCAAGTCAGTTTTAGCAAGAGTCCTGCAAGGCCAGTTTTCAGAGTCCCTGGCCCCTCGTCATCCAACCACACCCCTCTTGTTCCCCTCCCTGTGCGTGAGCCCTCGGCCTGCCCCCGGAGAGGAGCCCCCACTCTTGCTGCCCCGCTTAGCAAGGTCCATCCACGACCCCCTCAGGCTGCTCCTGGGCTGGGGGCCCCGCTCACCTGCCGCATTCAGAGTTGAGTTCAAGCTCTCTCGCCTGCTCTACTCCTTGAATAAAGTCTTCCTTCCCGTCCTGACGAGGGTCGGAGGAATTTTCCTGCAACGTGGCCAGTGGTGCCCAGCGAGGCAGGCAGCAGGGTCCAGAAAAGCCGTGCTGTGCTCAGCCCCTGGGGCCCGGCTGGCCGCTGCCACGGCGTGCCACGGGCTGTCCCACGGACTCCGTGGCGCCCTTGGGGCCCAGGGCAGCGTCTGGCGCTTGGCAGACGCTCAGTAAGTGAGGATAAGTGAAAAGCCCAAATGCCAAAAAGACAGACAGAAAGGCAAAGTTAGAACTAATTTGCTTCTGAGCTCCTTGGCGTCCAAACTGCTGACGGTGAACAGCAGTGAAAGCGGAGGTCAGTGCCACATGTGATTCATTAGGCCCCTGTTTTGTCCCCCTTCCCAACTACCCAGCCGGGCCCGGTCCCTCTAGGACGGCAAACAGGTGGCAGCACTGAGGACGAAGGGAGTTAACGATGATCATAGTTAACAACAGGCCGTCCTCACTACGTGCCTCAGCTCTTTATCTACTTTTCCCGATTGAATCCTCACGCCGGCTCTGTGAGCTGGGGATTATCTTTACCCCCATTGTACAGATGAGAAAACCGGCCCAGAGAGGGGACGTGGCTTCCCAGGGACCAGTCATAGGAGAATGTGGGTTCCCACCCAAACCAGACGGAGTTTCGTGCGTGAATGTGTGTACGTGGGTCTGTGCGCGTGTGGGTGTGCGTCATGTACGTGAGTACGGGACCCGCGCCTGGACCGACGCCTGCAGGGAACACAGGGTGGCACTCGCGGTGTGACCTGGGGGTGCCTCGCACGCTCCTTGCTGTAGGCTGTGCTAACGGAGCCCCGCTCTCAGACAAGCGGTGCGGTGAGGGAGCAGGCTTGCACGGGCGGGGATGAATTTAGAGGGAGTGAGTGTAAATTAAGAGTCTGTCACAAAAATTCAGGGGAGAGGGGCGCCTGGGTGGCTCAGTCGGTGAAGCGTCCGACTTCGGCTCAGGTCATGATCTCACAGTTGGTGAGTTCGAGCCGCGTGTTGGGCTCTGTGCTGACAGTGCAGAGCCTGCTTGGGATTCTCTCTCTCTCTCTCTCTCTCTCTCTCTCTCTGCCCCTCCCCACCTACCCTGCTGGTGCGCACATGAGTGCTCTCAAAATAAACTTAAAAAAAAAAATTATACAAGAAACGAAATGCTTCTTAAATTTCCATATCGGAGCCACGGCAGCGGGGTCCAACTTCAGGTAAGACAGAGCACGGATGGGAGGCGAGGACAGAGACAAGAAGGGACCGGGCCGCCGGGGCCTCGGCCGCCTCTCCTGGGAACAGCTTCTGGGTCCCCTCGCGGGCAGGAAGTTAAGACGAATCACAGAAAATTAGGCCAAATGGCACGGCCTGTTTCTATGGAGACGTCAGTGATGCCACACACGCTCCCCGGATCCCACAGGACGCGGGGCTTCCGGAGCCGGTCCCGCCCGGGCCTGAGCAGGCGTACCCGCGAGCCCGGCTCCCGCAGAGGCCGACCGTCCACGGCGTCCTTCCGCTGCCCGACCGCGGTCTCTGCACCTGCCCTGAGGATGCTGCGGGCCGGAGCCCTCCCCCCCAAGAAGCGCAGCCTGGAGCCCAACCCGCTGGAGAAGGGCATGCTGCTCCTGCAGAGCGTGGCCGGCCACGGCACGTCGGCTCGGGCCCTCAGCCGCTTCCACGGGAAGATGGTACGGGGTCCCGGTGGGCGGACGGCCTGCTTCTGCCCCTCGACCGAAGGCCTCCAGATACGCTCCGGTGATGGCCCCAGAAGGGCAGATTCTGGGGGATGCAGAGCCCGTGAGCGAGGAGGCACCGTCCGCCTTGAGCCTTCCTCAGAGGGGTCTCCAGGAGGAGCCAACGGGGAGAGGAGAGGTTGGGGGGGGGGGGGGAAGCACAGCCGGCAGGTCCCTGAATGTACCTCAGGCTCCAGGAGACCAGAGAGCCAACCCAGGGTCCCCAAGGACTCCCCAGGCGGATGCCGCCAGTGTCTCCAGCCGGCGCACACGCTGTCCTGAAGCTCACGGTGCTCGGGGAGAGGGGCAGGCGGCTTCCAGGGTCTCCTCTCTCAGTGTCTCGTTGTCCCCACTCCGCCAGGACGGACGCAAGCAAGACGCCAGCGCCGAGGACACCAGCTTCACGGCCGAACTGGAGGAGCTGAGAAAGGTGTTCCTCACAAGGCCTCACTGCCCTCGGTTCAGCACCAGGGCCACGTCCATGTGTCCTTACGGTGAGAGCCACCGACCGGGGGCTCCCGCGTGAAACCGCCTCCTTCCCCCATGGAGTCGGGCGGCCTTCCCTGCTGGCACATGTCAACCAGAGCGGTGGCCCGCGGTGGCTGTGCGCGGTGGCTGTGCGCGGTGGCTGCGGTTGCTGCTGCTGCTGCAACTCGCTGTGTGGGCAGGAGCCCCAGCTGGAACCAGCAGCAGAGGCAGAGGCAGAGGCAGAGGCAGAGGCAGAGGCAGAGGGATGGGAGGGGGAGGGGTGGGAGGAGGGAGGGAAAGTAAAGCCTCCTTTCTTTTCCCTCAGCCGACTCAATACGCTTGGGGGAGGGGGGAGAATGTTGAAAATTCTGGAAGCTGCCCAAAAGGGGTCATAAGGCCAAAGACAGGAACAAACCCCTGTGAGGAGCCCGACAGCCGCCTGGTGGTGCCGCGCCCCGTTCTGACCCGGGAGAACCGGAGGCTTTGAGAGGGCAGCCGGGCACTCGGTGGTCACCGAGGGGCACTGGCCAGGCCAGGCAGCACCCCATACCCCTCAGGTCCCAGCCTGCACTGGGCCCACGTGCCCACACATGACGTTGTCCGTAGGGACAGGGCAATGGAGGCTTAGTGCTGTGGCCGGGAACAGGAGCCTTGTTCGTGTCCGAGGTGGGGGCCCCCACCAGCTCCCCTTTGTCAGGCCTGGAACCTCAGCAGCCTGTGCTCCCGATCCAGGACTTGTGGGCTGGGCTGGCCGGGACGGCTGGGGGACCACACTGCGTCCTGCGTGACGGCTCGGGGGCAGCTGGGTCTGCCCTTCGGGACAGAGGGGCCTCTCAGATACCATGAAGCTGAGCCTTTTTTACAGGAGATGCGGGGTCCTTCCGGGGAGGGGTGCCTCCATTTGGAGAGACTCAGCTGCACCTGCTGCTCTGGGCCGGCACACCAACGCGGGCAGGAGGACGGAACCGTGTCTCCGTTCAGTCCCAGGGTTCCCGCAGCTCCCCTGACACGGCACCTTTAATGCCACCTGAGGTTTACAAAGAAATGGAAGCGTGGCCCCTGCCCTGGAGGTCGTGGAAGGTGTAGCCTTAGCGGCCATCAGCTGGCGTCTCGAACCCCCTGCAGGTTCAGCCATCTCAGCCGAGTTATCTGAGGAGTTGCGCGTGGCGCTCGATTCCTGGAAGGCGACCCAGGACCCGCTCTCCGGCCGGCAGGTGGACGGTGAGGGCGGGGCCGGCTGCCACCGGGGTCCTCCCCTCATCACGCCAGCCCCGAGGCCTCTGCCTGCACCTGCCTCTGGCCCCTGCTCCCCCCCCAGGCCTCCCTGATCCTGCCCCGTGGGGACCACCTGCCTGGCTCTGTGTCTCTGACACAGGGTGCGTCCCTCCTTGAGTAGAACACACTGTTCCCACACGCGAAGATACTTTCTTTCCTTTATCCAAAGACGATCTCTGCACGCAGAGGTCTCCTTTGTCTGAACGCCAGGAAACCCCTCACAAATGTCTGGGCCACCTGGCGCACCGCGGCATCAGCGTGACCCCTGCTGTCCTGGCCCCCAGGCCCCGGGAATCTCGAAGGGCTGCTTTTACCATTCCCCTCCCTTTCTTCAACACACACATGGGCAGGTGGGGAAGGACGGACGAGGGTGGTCACAAGTAGGGGTGTGGTGAGCCCGCCGGGCAGTGAAGGGTTTCTGGGGAGGGACACGATCATGGAAGCCCCCGGGGCCGCTCAGCATGGGACTAGTCTGACTGCCCCCCGCTTCTCGACAGGGTGCCTCCTTCCCTTTAGTAAGAGCGCCTGTGAGTTCAACTACTTGAGGACAAGCGAATCCCGGATGGTAAGCCCGGTCCCCAGCAGCCCAGTCCTAGCGCACAGCCAGCTGAGAAAGCGCGTGCCCTGGTACATCTCCGTCATCCATGAGAAGGTACGGCCGTGTGCGGAGCCCTGGGCGCAGACCCTGAGCCGCATGCCCCAGCTCCGCATCCCTCTGGAGAGGAGGGCCGCGGCCACCCCGGGGGCTCTCGTCCCGGGATCCGGTCAGCTGTTCGGGCAGGTCCCCAGAGCGGCCGAAGCTGACCCCCAGCTCCCTCTTCCGGTTCCGTGAATCAGACGTTTCCAAACCCTGCAGCCCCCGTGCGCCTTCACCCCAGTGGGCGGCGGGTGAAGCTGGCGTGGGTCCCGCCCCCTGGCATGCAGCTCGCCCCACGAGTCATGACCTCAACCATTCACATGCCTTTGACCCGATATTTCCACTTGGGAGGATGTATTCTTAAAGATTAACAACCAGCTCGGTGTGCAAAGATCTACCTACGAGTTGATTTGTTGGGATTTGATTCTCTGCATCCTTGTTTGTGACAGAGAACGGCCAGTAATTTACCTGTCTAGTTATTCTTTTGTTTGCTTTTGGTGTCAGAGTAAATCTGGCCTCGAAACAAACCACCAAGCGGTGCCCGGGTGGCTCAGTCGGTTAAGTGCCCGACTCTGGATCTCGGCTCAGAGCATGATCTCACGGTTCATGGGTTTGAACCCCGCATCGGGCTCCATGCTGACAATGCCGAGCCTGCTTGGGATTCTCTCTCTCTCTCAAAATAAATAATCAACTTAAAAAGTTTTGTTTTAAAAACCATCGAAAAGTTGGGAGACATTTTCTCCCTTCCGTTCTCTATCCTCTGGAAGGGTCTACACGAGATTGGTGAAGAATTCATCACTGAGGACTCCTGCAGAGTCCTCAGAGAGAAGGTTCTACAAATAATGAAGTCACTTCCTTGAAAGATATTCAGAATTCCTTCTCCCTCTTGTTTCAGTTTGGGGAAGCGATGTTTTTGTTTTTTGTTTTTTTTAGGAATGTGTCTGTTTCATGTAAATTTTCAAATTTATTGGCCTAGTCCTGTACAGGATGGTGTTTTATTACCCCTCTAATTTCTGCAGAGAGAAAGCATGCCTCTTTTCCATTCCTGATGGTGCTAACTCCTGCCCTCTTTTTCTCCATCTGTCCTGCTAGGTATTTATCAACGTTAATAGTCTTTTCTTAGAACCTGCTTCTGTAGTTGTCTTAAAGCTGGTGAAGCTTTCATGGCCGTCATGGAAATGAGCACACAAAATGTTGAGTAGCTGGTGGGCACACAAAACCCTGAGGGTGTGGGTCCATGGGTCTTCGTGTTACCTTTGATTCCCGAAACTCTGCCTCGACATTGTCTGATAGGTTTCACAACTTTGAAAGTGTTGATATCCTGGGACCACTTTGGGGAAAGCCTGAGGCTCTAATTAGCTAGAGCCACACAGATCTGTGTAAAAGAATGTCCTTTGCAACATGGTGTTCTTCTGCAAACAGCGGGAAGGGGTATTACCAAAGGCGGATGTGAACGGGCCTGGGGAAGGGCTGCAGGCTTGGCTGCCTCCAGGAGCTCGGAAGGTGTCCTTAGGGCTGTCTTTCCCTCATCTCCGCCTGGTCTGAACTGGCCGAGGTGATGCTTCATCACTGGAGGGAGGCCAGAGAGCCACCTGCAGCCACAAGCCCCCAGTCGCACCGAACATCCCCTTTCCAACCACCGCTGTCCAGTTTGGGACACATGCGTGGGTCTCGATCACTATGGCAGGGGAAAGAGGTGCGATTTTGGCAAAATCATTTTAACGTAATTGTATAAGCGGTTCCGCATTCCTTCAGATCCCCCCGCCCCCGCCTAGCGGCGGGCGCCGCCCCCCCCCCCCATGCTGCTGGCTCCGCCCTCCCGTCATGCTGCTGGCTCTGTCCTCCTGCTGGCTCCGCCCGCCCGCCATGCTGCTGGCTCCGCCTCTTCCCCCCCCACCCTGCCGCCGGCTCCGCCCCCCCCCCCCCCGGCTGGTGGCGCCCCCCTCCTGTTGGCTCCGCCCCCGCCATGCTGCTGGCTCCGCCCCCTCTCCCCTCCCCACCCTCCCAGATCTTCGTCCACCCTCTCCTCTGCCACAGCCTCAGCTCTTCTCTGGAGCCCTGAGGTGGATGGCTAGCCCGTTGGTTCCCTGCGGGCCCCAGTCGGTGCGCGTGGGGCTCGGAATCCGTGCCCTCCGTGGCCTCGGCCTCACCCTACAAATCTCCATATGTCTTGATGTTGATCATTGTTCCTTTTCAAACTTCCAACCTCCTTGGCGCATCTGCTTCTTTGACTCGTGCGCCCCGTGGAAGCCTGGCACTTAAATCCCAAACATCCGAAGGGCTTCCTAGCTGCCTCCTTTTCCTCCGGCACCTGTGCCTGGACCACCTCCCTCCGGCCTCAGCTCCGATCTGGTGGCAAGTCCTCCGGTTTCCGTTTGTCCAAAAACATCTGTATCGTGTCTCCGACTCTGAGGAACTGGGGGCACCGAGATCTTGAGCACAGAAGGTGGAGGGGCAGAGGGCGGGGCTCTCTGACAAGGCCCCGGGGGGCGGGGGTGGGTGGCCGGGGCCAGGCCTGAAGGGCAGGTACCAGGAGCCCACCCCCCCAGGCAAGGATTTGGGACCTGTCCTTAGGCAGGGTGGCTGGGATTTCAGGGTGCCTGAATGGCAGGCCTGCCCTTCCTAGGCTCAGAGCTGCCGGTCTGCAGGCGCCCCGAGAGGGTGGGCCCGGGAGGGGCTCGAGCGGCACATGGGGGCCACCTGCGCTTCTGTGCAGGATCACTGCCTGCGCACGCTGGGGGAGGAGGTGCAGCGCCTGTCCCAGCTGGAGGCCCTGCTTCGGAAGAAAGACGAGGAGGTCTCGGCCCTCCAGGAGGAGAGGGAGGCCTTGAAGAAGCAGCTGAAATTCCTCCTCCAAAGCAAAAGCCAAGAGAGATTGGTATGTCAGGGCACGGGGTGAGCAGGGGGCCTGAGCCGCGAGCTCTGCCGCCAAGGGTCCAAAGCTCCGGGTAGCCCCCCCGCAAGTGCCCCGTCGTCCCGGAAGCCTGCCACGTCCTGGTGGGGGCGGGGCTCCGCGTAGAAACAGACCCCTGTGCTTTGCTGCCCGCTTGCTTGGTCCCTGGGGCGGGCCGTGTGTCTGTCTGGACTCCGCTTCCTTCCCGTAAGATGAGGGCCGGATCCTCCGAGATCCTGAAGGATGGAAGGAGCCCTGAAGGTGGTGTCCGGGGCTGAGACATGGACCCGGTGGGCGTGGCGGCTCAGTTGAGCCAGGTCTGTTCTGCCTGCAGGACATTCAGTGTCCTTGCCTATAAAGCAGGGGGGGGGGGGGGGGGGCGGTGCTGCCCCTTCCCAGGTCTGGACAGAGGGCTGAACCAGGCAGGTGCCGGTAGGGCCCGGCGAAGCAGTCGCCTGGTCTTTCTAAAACTTGATTTCTTTCATCCCCGAGGATACAGCCCAGCATTATGCTGGGGGCACACATGAGGCAGGGGTGGGGACCCCCGAGATGCCACCAGAGAGAGCTGGACCAGACGCCGATGGCACGGTGCCAGCAGGCAGGGGCAGCAGGAGTCTCCGGGGGCCTGGGGGTGTCAGCCTGCCTTCCCTGCTCCCCAGCGCCCCCGGGGGCGCTTAGAGAGCCGTGAGCCACAGGAAACATGGCCTGCTCACGTGCAGGCCACCGCCCCCCTTCTCAGCAACACAGCAACCTTGGCAGGAGGACACTGGCTCCCCTCCCTCCCCTGCAACACGGAGAGGCTGCTGTCCCCTTCCAGAAGGACAGGTCTCACCCCCCCGGGGGAGCCGAGGCTCACGCAGGCGTCTTACAGGAGCAGCCCTCAGAGTCTGCACCAAAGCCCTTGGGGAAGCTGAGCATCCTGAGAACCTTCTTCAGAGACGAGGAGGAGTTGCAGCACAGAAGGCAGGTGCGGGCCTGTTGGGAAAGGGAGGGGGGGGTGGCGGGGGGAGGCCTGACCCCGGGCCACATCTGCAGGGCAGCCGGGCGGGGCCCAGGCCACGGTGTCCCACCCGTAGCTCTCACCTGCTGGCCTTTCCCCAGTCGCAGGCCCTCAGACACACCTGGGGGGAACAGGTGCAGGGTGGCGGGACTCCAGCCCCCCCGCCCCGGGGGGTGCCAGGGTCTCCGAGTGGACGAGGCTGACCCTGCCCCGGCTGGGGGGCCGCGGCCCCACGCCCAGTGCACTCCTGCCCGGCGTGCCTTCCGTGTCCCAGCCGCAGGACGAGTGTTCCGCGACCCACAGGGGCAAGGACCTGGAAGTGGATGGCGGCCAAGAAGACGAGGCCGGAGAAGCAGAGGGCGGAACGGGCAGCGGGGAGGCCGCGCCCGAGGAGGGGGTTGAGGTGGAGGTGGAGCAGCTGGAGGAGGAGGAGGGGCAGGGGGCCGAGGCTCAGTCTAAGAGAAGTTCGAGCTCCCTGGAAGACGCCTTCGAGCGGGAGCTGGTGGCCCAGCTGGAGGAGTACGAGCAGGTGATCTGGGAGCTCCAGGACGAGCTGCAGGTGACCAGGACCAGATACTCGCTCGCGACAGGTGCGGCCCCGGGGCCTGGGAGCCTGCGGGGGGGGGGTGGGGGGCCAGGGACCGAGGCCCGCGGGGCGGGAGGCCGCCACCCTCAGCCCGGCTTCTCAGGCCCCTGCTCTCGCTCCTCTCCTCCGCGGCGCTCACTCAGGTGCCATCACGTCCTTACAACGCCGAGTGGGTTTCCAGGAGTCCCGGCTGCGGCAGGTGCACACGGAGAGCGAGGCCCTGCGGAGGGAGCTTCGGGAGCGGGAGGACCAGCTACGCGCCATGTCCAACAAGGTGGCCGTGCCCCTGTCACCCTGGCACTGGGAGCCGGGAGCCCGGGCAGCCCCGCACCGTCCACCCCGGGCCGCTCGGCTCCGGGCCACTTCCCAGGACCCCCCGCCCCGCGTCCACCCGCCCGTAGCTGAGCACCGTGTTTTCTCGAAGTGTTTCACACTCACAGCGTAAAGAATCAAGGAGTCCCACAGGCTCGTCGCCCCAATAGGTGTGTCCACCCTCCTCCCCCTCACGCGCCCCTCCCCCGCGGCGACCGCTCTCAACTCTTCCTTAGGAATCGCTCTGCAGGTTCCCGGACGGCATGCTTCCAACGCCCATTCTGGAACTTTCTGCATCATCACATTATCTATTGCTTCCTCCTTCCTCCCCTGCCTGGGGTCCCCAACGCAGGGAGGTCCGCCTCCCGCCGGCGTCCCCCACCCAGGACCCCCAGGGGGTGGGGGTGGGGGCGGGGGCACGTTGTCAGCAGCACACGCCCGCCTGGGGCTGAAACACGGGCTTCCGGAATGAGGATTAAGGTCCACTCTCTCTTCTGACCTACTCCCGCGTCTTCATGGGAGCACATCCTGCAGCGACCTTTTGATAAAAAAACGAGTAGGTATAAACTGGGGGGACACCGCACTCCGCGAACGGCCTGCTTCTACTTGGCGGCAGAGTGTGGCCGGGACAGCGCCTTCCGTCAGTGTGTCCCCGCCTCTTGCTCACTCGGGCCCAGGCCGGGTGGCCGTGGTGTGTCCTGGTCCCCGGTGCCCTGAAAGCTGGCGGACTTGTGCCATCGCGGCCCGTTCACTGTCCTGGGCTCTCCGGGACCAACCAGGAACGCGTGTCCTGTGGTTCTGGAAGCTCACGTTTATCTCGGTTTTTCGTTTCCTCCTCTTGTCTCTCGAACCTTCCGTCCTCCTGGCGTCGTCCCTAGACCTGGTTCCCCCTCCTCTTCCCGTCTCCTGGTCCGTCTGCCGTGCTTTCCACGTTCTCCGCACTTTCTCCGCAGCCTCCTCCCTCCTGCCTTTGTCACACTGACGCTTCCCCATCCGCCTTGTTCTCCGAAAGTCCTCGTATCTTCTTTTACCTCAAGATCCGTGGCCGGTCTGACCTCGCGCAACACACCTGGCTGCCGGGCTTAATTGCTGCAACATCCCTCTCTCTCCTGCAGGTGTCCTGTGTCCCTCCGCCTCGGTCTCTGTCGTTCGCGAGAGAGCTTTGCTCCAGCGTCAGGGCCGAGCGGAGTGGCCACGCGGTGCTCATTTTGTGCTTCACGCACAAGGGCACACGGGCCCCCGTCAGCCCAGCGTTCAAGGTCCTCTCGTTAGGGCTTTCCTCTTAATTTGCTCAGATTGCCCCGGAATCTGGCACCTGGGAGGGTTTCTGGCCTGTGATGTGAAGGCCCAGCTGCTGGTGTTGCCGGAGGCCCGGGGGGTGGGGGGGAGCCCACATCTGGAGCCTGGGGCCGCCACCCCCACACTGAGCCTGGCACCTCCCCCGCCGGAGCCCCTCTGCCAAACCCCGGCCCCCAGCCTCCCGCCAGGCGGACAAGGGGCAGGCTCCTTGCCGCTCAAGGTTGGGGACCGGTCTGCCACTCCGTTCCTGAGATAGTCACCACCGACCCCCACCCCACAGGAGCCTCTACACCCAGAAGCAGCCGCACCTCCAACTCCTGAGACTGGGGGACTCCGGGAGGGAGCTGGGCTCGTCAGCTTTCCCCGCCGCTGGCTCAGCACCCATCCTCCTTGGCTCTGCCCAGCTCCCTGCGTGTTTGCAGGCCCCCCGTCCTTCTCCCTGTCCTTGGCAGGGGTCCTGCGGCTTCTGTGGCACTGAGGCTCGGGCAGACGGGTGGACACCGGTGTCCCGTCCGTCCTCCCGTTCCCTGAGCCAACCCCCCTTCTGCCTTCCAGTTCTCCAACCTCAGGGAAGACAAGAAACACGAAGAGATGATGGGCCTCATGGAGAAGGACAACTTTCTCCTCCGCCAGGTGACCGCCAGGCGTGGTTAAACGGTCAGCCAGATCTTGCTGTTTTTGCTGTAAGTCCTGACGCAGCGTGGGGGACATGAGCCGCGAACCCCCTTCGCAGTCAGTCGGGGGCCCCCCTCCGTCAGGCGGCACCCCCATCAGCAGTGGCTGGAACGCAGGTGCACACAGAGGCTCCTCGCCACTGCTGGCTCCACATCTGGCTTGAACTCGGTGACGCCGGCCGTCTTGGGGGGACAAAGGGGCGGGGAACACGGGCGACCCTATTCCCGCGTCCTCCCTCCCCCCCCCCCCCCCGCTCCCGCAGCAAGTGGCGAGTCTGCTCTGCAGCTCCGCCACT